TTCCAGAGCTCTCTGTCATTTTCCCCCGGTATATGTATCCACCACCTCCCCGCCCGATATAGCTGGAACAGCTTTGATTAATAGATGAGCTTTCTGGTATGTGGCAATGGAACCTTGGTAGTAGCCCGCATATTCCCGGTTAATGTTTGGCGAATCTATCGACAAAATCCATCTGCATTCTTCAAAATGGATTGACTGCCGCGAAGGTTCTTCTTAGTGTTGGCCACGCAAGAGGCCGAAGTTACATCTAGTACTAGGGGATAATGGGGATGTATTATATCTATTCATGACAGATATATCTCCTACTCGAAAGTGGCACTCTAGTGTTTTGCGTGGGGTAGCGCAACGAATCAACCAACCCCTTTGTGGTCTAGTACGATTGGATGTTGGTTGTCTGCGCCAAGAATTAGTAGCGCGGGGCTTTCTTTTTGCCAAGACCAATCACTACATCGCACGTGTTTGCATTTCGGTTGGTGCTAACTTGTTCCAGTGCAAACCGAAAGAAGAAAGCTGACTCTCAGGACGATCAGGGAAAAGTATGGTGCGCACACTCTTAAAGGTGATGTGGTGGCACACGGAAGTGGAATAATTGTGGCTGCAATAGAGCATTACTGCCACGGATCAGGCAGGTTTGCTATACAAAAATCCACAATTTCAACTTGCTAAGGCTTTTCAACCCAGAGAGATATCAAAAATCTGTAAAAATAGAACTAAACTTCATCTCTTTAACTAGTGTTCCATTTTTCCAGTTTTCTTTTACCATTTTCCGTTGCAAAGCCTTAGGCTTTTGAGATTTCGTCGCGATCCGCTACCTTTAAGCGTGGGCGCACCATACACGCCCGGGGTGATCCAGGTGACAATTGTTCTGCTTTCCTGTTGGTCCCGTCTCAGTGGGTACTCCAAGGCACGAGCTAGGGAACATACGTGGTGAGGCTACGTACAGTACGGTCCTACCAGTAGAGGAAAACGAGGATGATAAGTGCATATTATTGTTAGTAACAGACGGTAGAGTGCATTTACTCTAAAGGGAGTAACGGCCTTGTACTCTAGGCACTCTAATCTACGCAAATTTTCCTCCTACCTTACAAATAGTAAATTAACAGGTAATTCATGTCTGTACTCTTGAGTCTTGGTACACTTACCAGGTTTACAGGCGATCTTCAGGCATTTCCTACAATAGGTACCGATCGGGGCTGAGAGTCTGAGACCGGCTTTGCTCCTAGTGATCAGCAGCTAGCTGGTACAGTCGCTCACCTAGTGACGGCGGATCCTGTCTGATGGTTGTGCCCGTGGTAATTTACTCTTGGCGTCCTAAACTTAACTCTGCTATTGGCCTCAAAATCCCTGACCGCCATCAGACAGGATCCGCCTTCACCCCGTGAGTGACTGTACATAAGTTAGCCGACTGACCGCATCTATATAACCACGGATTAGCGTCGAGTACCCACATGCACAACATCCACTGCCCAGCCGGCGCGGGTGGGCTTAACTTTATGTGAACAGGTGCATTCGGCTCCCAGATTGCCGAAGCCTCACCCCTGGGCCCTGGTACTACTACTCGTAACTAACTTCCTAGGTACATACATGCACTCTAGAGTGTATCAGGTACCTACAGTACCCCAATGTACTTACTCCATCTATGTACTTTAACCAGCAACCTCGATCACACCATTCTCTTCATCAAATGGCACCCGTTATTTTGGGTTTGAGAAACAAAGTATAATTCCGTTTGAATCGTGAAATCTTTGAGTGGAGTAGATGTGTAGGCCTAGAGCCTACTAGAGTAGAAAGTACATGTACATAGAGGCCCACCATGTTAAGCTTCTTGTGGTCGGACCTCCGAAATACAGCCATGAAATTGCTCAACTCTGCATCGTGAGTGTCTCGGATTCAGCTATCAATATGCAATCGACCCAGGACGTCACTATCAACGTGACTCCATGAGAATTTCAGCTGATTTAGCACCGGAAGCATCTTCGCTAATCATGCACAAATGTTCTCTTAGAACGATCATAATAGCCGCTCGTGCGGAGGGGTATTCTCCAGGTTGTTATGAAATCACTTCCTGGCACCGAATTCCCCTAATGGTAAACTATCTCTCTCATCCTTTGAAAGAGCTTAGGCTTAGGTACCAAGGATACACTACATGTAGGTATCCCAACTATTCCTGCGGCAAGCACTCGGGAGTTCGTATTCTACTACGTCACTCTATTATGCATGCTTACCCCCTGCCCTACGCCGTCAATCCTTGTTAAACACCGAAAATCCCATAGACACCAAGGTGTCTCTAAGACCCAACAAAGCCCACCCTTCCTGGGTATTCGTTGTTGTCAAGTCTCGCGTTGTGCTGAGACCACAACCTGTGCCTTGACTATCAATGTCACAAAAAAGGTTTCAGATTCCTAATTCTGGCGGATTTAAGAACATTATGTCATTCAATGCTTATACTGCAAGGAATTTAGACCGCCTACTGTATCATACCTAACTCCTCATCTCACGATACACCACGGCACAGCGGATACCGAAGACTTCCTCTAGTAGTTCAATGAGCGGCGGGATAGTACTCTTTGAGGAAGCGAAGTTCTGTCTGCTGATGTGGCACCAATGGCTGGCATGGAGGTAAACTATGCAAGAATTCAGTCGCCCACTTCGATTCTCTAGATGGCTCAAGTGCTCTCTACTGGTAGTTCTTCTGATCCACTATTTAATACTCCAGTTCTCCTCATCTGAGAACTTCATTCCCAGCGTCGGACTCAAGGCCTCGGACTCACTCACCTCATCCATCACCCATCATGTATTTCCGCTCTATCCTCCCCCTCTCCCTTCTCCCTCTATCACTCCTCCCTCTCACAACTCTCGCCCTCCGTCCCCGCGATGAGCGCGTCCTCAACACCACCGTCCTAATTCTAGGCGGAGGAATGACCGGTGTATCTGCGGCTCACTCTCTAGCCATTGACCGCAACATCACCGACTTTCTTGTCCTCGAGGCCCGTCACGAACTCGGTGGCCGTGTGCAACAGGGCAAGATTGGTGACCTCAACATTGAGCTCGGCGCAAATTGGGTTGAAGGACTGGGTACAAATCCCGTCTGGACACTCGCCCAGAAGTACGGCATCAACAACCGGTACTCGAACTGGAGTAACATTGACTACTTCACCGAAGATGGTTGGCAGGATGAGACCGGTAGCCTTGCCCAAGCACTCACGAGGTATGAAGAAGAGGTCTTTATCAAAGCCTCCGCCGATGCTGGGAGACGTAAAGCGTTGGGTCTTCCTGATTTGTCCATGAAGGCGGGATTGAGAGTCGCGGGATGGAACCCATTGACACCCGAGGAGAGGGCCGCCGAGTACTTCAGTCACGACTGGGAACAAGCGGAGCCACCTGTAGAGAGCAGTTTTATCGGTACCATTGAGGTTTATAATGAGACTTTTATCGAGTTTGGCAACTCTGATAATCACTTGGTGATTGACCAAGGCGGCTATAAGCAGGTGATCATCAAGTATGGTGATGAGATTCCTAACTTTCAGGATAAGGTAATGTACAATGAGGTTGTAGAGACCATCGAGTACAGAAGCGATGGGGTGACGGTAAAGACATCCAGTGGATTAACGGTTAACGCGGAGTACGCGCTTTGCACTTTCTCGTAAGTCAACTCTATAAAGCATTGCCTAGAATGATCCAGAACTAACACTCATCACCAGATTGGGAGTTCTCCAGCATGACGACGTAGTATTTGAGCCCGCGCTGCCTGATTGGAAACAGGATGCCGTCGCCAATTTCCATCTCGCAACCTACATGAAGATCTTCGCCAAGTTCCCCACCAAATTCTGGAACGACACCGAGTTTGCATTGTATGCCGATGCCGACGAGCGTGGTTACTACGCAGTCTGGCAGTCGCTTGATGCCCCCGGTTTCTACGAAGGATCCAAATCGATCTTTGCAACCCTCACCTCCGATGCTGCCTACCATGCGGAACTGCAGACTGATGAAGAGGTCAAAGCCGACTTTGTTGCTGTCTTGCGGGACATGTACGGTGCCGAGAATGTCCCAGAGCCAATTGATTTTACCTTCCCAAGGTGGACACTCGACCCCCTGTTTAGAGGCACATTCACCAACTGGGGTGCGGGTGTTACTGTTAAGCAGCAGGACGATATGAGGGCCCCGGTTGGTGGAGACGCGGAGACAGAGAGGAGGTTGTTCTTTGCAGGAGAGCACACAAGCAGGAAGTACTTTGGTGAGTTCTAGTTTTCCTTTCCCCCTTTGACAAAACGAAAGGTATGCTGATTAAATCTATTAGGCTATCTCCATGGTGCATTCTTTGAGGGCAGAATGGCGGCACACAACTTAGGTGATTGTGTGCTTTTCAACTGCATGGAGTCAGATGGCACCATGTTGGCCAAGAGAGATGCGATGGAGTTTGAGCAGAACAAGGTCGGCGCGACACAAGGAAGACTCAGGAAGAGACAATGGGGTTAAATGCCTTTGCATCCATGTTTTCTAATTTAATGTTTTACGTTAATATTGTATATGAGAATAATGAACGTAATGCTAGTGTTCAAATATCTTTTGGGGCTCCACTTATCGAGTGATCATTTGTTTGCGCCTTATCGTATAAAGAAACCATATCTTATGTGATACCTGAATCGGGCTCTTGATTCCCAACATTAGCCATGAGAATTTGATCGACTTCCTACATATCTATCATGCCATTATAAACACAATGTTCTTCATAGTATTCCATTATGTTAATAGACCTCCAAGTTGTTTCCTGAGTGGTAATGCTGAACACAGATGTCGTTGAAATAAGTATCCCTGCAATTAAAGTCAAACCTATCAAATGCCAAGTATTCCATCCAACCTTCCCAGCTTCTCTCCCACCTCACACCCTTCTACTACTCATAGACTCACCATTTCCCTCCAAACTGAACAAAAATGATTTCTTTCACAAGCTCGGATCCGACAAGCAGCGCATCACAAAATTTAAAAATGATATGTTTGTCTGCCATCAGTGCGGTTCGAACGCACGCATCTTTCGATAACACAGGTTTTTCTCAAATGAGAAACTTAAATGTGCCGCCTTAGACCACTCGGCCATAATGGCTTGAGTTTCCTTCACCAATCATCACTCGATATACTGTTTCGAAGACAGGGTTCTGCCAGGGATTTGTAACTGCCGGTGGCAACGGTCCTTAGCGAGACACCTAACGCAGCTCATAGGAGACGACGATAGCGGACCACCAAACCTTCCGTGTCGAAATAAAAATCCGTCGAAACGCCCCGGGGGGGGAACATTCAGCGCACCATATATATTGTCGGGGCAAAACTGCTTTAGTCATCATGAGGCTTCACTCCACATGACCTTTCCATTTTGCAGTAGTAAAGTAACTCTCTCTCCTTTCGAATTTCTCAACTAATGCTAACTAATACCTATAGCTAGATTATTGACTACACCACTCTCGACCCTATAGCTAGTACTGGGGCCGGTTCTCTCCTCATGTGTTTCACCGGGAAAACGATCATCACCGGGAAAGCAACCGAACCCTACAGAAGGGCATTATGAGCACCAATGCAATACCTATGAAGCCATACATGTATAGGAGAGTTCTTTTGGTGTTTTTGACTATTCCTTATGACCGTAGTGAGTAACGATCATCAGAAATATCCGAAAGATATCTCAAAATGACTTTAGTGCACTTAGTTCTGTAATTCTAGGTGATTTTGAATTTTCACATGAATTCGCGATCCCATTCGTGTCGTGCTTGGTTGCTTTCCTAGTGACGATTGCGTTCCCGGTGAAACACGTTAGTCCAGGACAATCATAATGCTCAATATGGCCTCCAAGGTCCGATTTTTACACTGGTCGTCCTCATCTGCTTCCTAATGCTCGCCATTCACCGCCTCCAGCTATGTTCCTGTGATCTCTCCTGGGGTGCTCTTTCGTTGGTTAAGTATAAACCCGTAAGCACTGTCGGCCCTGGCCTTTTACATACGGTTTCTCCTGAGGTATTGGCTTGCTAGACAACAAAGAACAGTGAAAAAAGGTATTATAAGATATTTGAGGATCAGGTTATCTACGAACTAACATTCATGAGTATTCCCTCGTACGTAGCAAGCGGACTTGAACTTTGGGGAACCTTAATAACAGTGATGCTTTCGAAGTTGTAATTAATCGAGCGCCACCGACCACAGTCAAGCAGCTTCTTACGATATCAAAATAATCTGAAAGATGTTGGAGACTAAGTTAATCCTATCAAATATAATTCATAGCTATTTTTAGAATTTAGGGGGCATAAATTCAACCCCCAATTCACATATAATTAAGCTATCTTCATTACTTACAATATCTTCGTAAAATGACCGATAGGCCACTGACCCCGTCAGCTTGAGGCTTTTTTCTTCTTTTTTGTTTAACTCATTAATTGCCAGATTAATGCTTAATTTTATATTGTATATCCATTTATAACCAAAAGAACCACTATAACCCGAGCCTAATAACCAACTGAGCTTCAACGTTAAATCGCGATAGACGAAAGTCTGCATGCAATTGAAAAAAGAGTTCAACGTCAAGATCACCAGATCGAGTGATGATCGATGACCCTAATTCTACAACAAACCATGCCCTAGTCCATAGAGTTACTAAGTGGGCCATGTAACATGATATCGTCGCCCGTCAATGTCATTACTTGAAATGTACATTACCGGGCGTTACAGCACATTGTTGTTTTCATGACTGCTCCAATTCTACTTGGCGCCAGCCACTTAACGTCTTCCGAGTGATGTCTCATGCATGAGAAGAGTTCCCAGGTCACAACCCTCAATCCAAACAGGCGAATTACACTAAGCAAGACACACACCACAGTGCCAACCCCGCACGAAACAGGGACTATTGTGGCACATCATAATCCCTATTCAAAACGGCACCGCCACTACGTACTATTGCCTCAGAGCAGTGGTCACTGGCCGGGGATGTTCTAAACACGCATACTCCGCCGTGGCTCGGTACCGGCCGTGTCACGTCATACATTCATGGCTGGTGACTCTTTGGCAGCATGCGGGTCTTGTCCGATCAAGATCAAGGTTGTCCATTATGTTCTCAGTGGGTGAAGCTGCCGGCGTGGCCACACGATAGCTCCCTCATAGGCCGGCCGGCCGGCCCGGAATAGCAACTTCCGATTCGAGCAAATCCTCGGCCATCCACATATACTCGCGGTACCGAAAAGTCCTCGGGTCATGTGACCAAATCAAGTAAAAATGGAGTGAGATCAACTACAATTGGGTTCACGTGACCCGGCGACTTTTCGGCACCGCGAGTATATCCACCGTCCGGATCAATATCATATCGAAAATGCGGCCGGCCTCCTCTTAGCTATGTAAGCCAGCTGGCTATATTTAAACCCACCCAGGCCATCGACAGCCCTGGAACATAACCCGCCGATTATACACTTGTTTCAGGTATAACCTTGCTACTCTAGAGGCATATCAAGTGAGTATGTAATGTAGCGGTGGCCCTCTTTCTGACTGGTCATCATCTCGTAGTATCCACCTCGTAATTAACCAAGGCCCCCCACCCCTCCAAGAGATCCACAGCCATCTCGATTCAGGGTTAATTGTGTTCCGTGAGTCTGTAGCATATTCCTACCCCCGCAGATCGAGTTACATTCTCTATATGCTACTACCGGTGCCTGGTAGTGGGTCGTGGGCAGATACCGGTAGGGTACTAGTTCAATCTGTATAGCTAGAGACACAGTCGTTGGTTAATGTGGCACAGTTCTAGAAGAGGAATGAGATTGAGATCGAAAGAAGGGTAAAGATAAAGGTATAAGTGTGATAGCTATAGTAGTAGTAGTAGTAGTAGTAGTAGTAGTAGTAGTAGTAGTAGTAGTAATAGTGGTAGTAGTACATGTAGTTAGTAATAATGCAATCGGTCAAAAGGAATTAATAAAGAACCCCAAAAACACAATAGCCCCCGGCCCCAGAAGGAAAATTTAAAAACGAGACCATGCAACCAAAACAAAGCACCAGAGAACCAGACAAGTGAGAAAGAAATTCCCTTATTTAAATAAAATAAATCGAAAAAAACCGAAATTAATACGTAAAAGCGCAACATCCACCGCGGCAAATCACATAAGAAACAAAACTAATCCAAATAAGCCCAAAATTCCCTAACCCAAATAACAACAATAATAGTAACAATAAAATAAAACTTCTCTCCCTCACCCTGTCCCTCCCCCAGTGGCAGTGGGGCAGCTAACCATCTTCGGCTAGAGCGCCCGCACCACACCCCACGCACGGACGGTTTAAAATCCACTTAAGCCGACGCGACGACGATGACTCCTCCCTCCCTTCGCCCCGCGTGACTCCGCGTCTTTTTTGGCCACGTCGCGACCGTGAGCCCAAAGGCTCAGGAGAACGCGACCGGTGTGGCTGACGGACCGAGGAGATAATTCCGACTTTCCCACACTCGCACACACACTCACACACACACCGCGCCGCCGCCCGGAAAATCCTGTCTCTGGTGGGCGAGGTTGGTGAGACCGTAGATGTGAGGGTTGAGGGACTTGCTTGTAGCTAGGAGGATATCGTATGGATAGATGGTTGGTTGGTTGGATGGATGGTTGGTTGGATGGATGGATGGTTGGTTGAGTGGTTGGTAGATGATGGGAGTTGATGGTGGTAACAGCAATTCGTGAATAGGTAAGTAGTTACTGTATGATCGGTACATTTCAACGGTCGCAACGGTAAAGAAAAAAAAGAAGTTGAAGGCAATGCATCACAAACGCCCTTTTCCCCCTTCCGACCAGTCGGTTCACAAATATGTTTTCCAATATCCTGCCCATGCCCAACCCATCCGTCCATTCTCCCAAAGCCAAAGTCAAAATTCAAACTCAGCGCCAGGCGCCCCCATGCATGAAACCATAGAGAAACCACCCCCAATTCCCCACCTGCCTGGACTGCCCCCCTGTTTCAGCATGCCTCAGTTCTGATGCTGTCTTGACTGGTATCCGCACTCCCACTACTGGTGCTACTACCACTCAAGCTCTCAAAACTACAATTATCCTGGCTCTGGCATGGGACAGTCTTCAACGGGTCCCCAAACAGCATTGTTTCGTGTCTGCGAAGCGACGGGATAACCCTACCGGAACTGAATGCCGCTCTCTTGCGGCGCGACGGCTGCTGCTGCTCATGCTGTCCAGGTGGATACTGCGGGGTCGGGGACGCGGGAGGGGATGGGAGGAGGGACGATGGCATTGCAAAGAGGTGGAAAAAGGCGAAAGGGCTGATAATTTCGTCGCTGTGGTCGTAGTGGTGGTATGGAGATGAGGAGGAGGAGGAGGAGGAGGAGCAAGAAGTTAAAGAAGAGGATGATTGCATCTGCTAGTAGTTATTCCGAGATTTTCTCCAAAGAAGAAGAAGTGTGTTGAGGAATTGAGGAGGTTGGAAAGAAAAATAGAGGGCGGGCAAAGAGGTGCTTTTGAGGCGTGAGATATTAAAACCTCCATTTTACATCGTGCAGGGATCATTTATCGTTGAGGGTGGTGGTGGTGGTGATGTGCAAGAGCGGAACCATAGAAACGAAACACGGGGGGTGGTAACCACGAAGATGATACGCGCCCATACCCGTTAATTGCACGTCCGGTATCTTCCACCCACCATCCCGGGTGACTATGGGTGACTCTCAAGAAAGAAGGGTCTTGACCCCCTCCCCCCAATTCAAGTTTTTTTTGGTTATCCTTACTCCGCCTCGCTGTGAGTGGTGGAGGGATGGTGGCGCCAACGCATCGAGATGGGTGAAATAAATAATTAGTCATCATATCACGTATATGCGCATGTCCCCATCCAGAACTGACTCTTGTAGAGGGTGGTGGGTGGTCACTGGTCAGGAGGGCCGTTCGCTTATGCCAGGGAAGCCGGAATAAACGCATGGGAGAGGGCAGTGCTGGATGTCATTGCCTACTCCTATTGTTCCTCTTTTGCATCCTTCTAGAAGCCGGACCTTTTTTCTTTTGGATATGTTAAATAAGTGGACACGGTACCAAGGTGAGGCGAGCCGAGTGATGTTCTGTGAGCACGAGGAGATATTCTTATCACCATGTACTCAAC